AAAAAAAGTATATCCTTGCTTTATCGACTTTGCCAAAGCGTTTGACAGTGTGGATCATGAGCTATTACTGACGATCATCGAAAATACCGGCATCGATAATAAAGATATCCGCATAATAGCAAACATGTATTGGAGACAAACCGCTAAGATAAAGCTGAACAACCGGTATTCTGACAACATAGAAATAAAAAAAAGGAGTGAGGCAGGGCTGCATCCTGTCTCCGCGCCTCTTCAATATATACTCGGAAAGCGTATTTGGAAAAGCGTTGGAGGAGGCAACAGAGGGTATACAGATAAACGGAGAGTAGATTAACAATGTGCGATATGCTGATGATACAGTCATACTAGCCAACAACATAGACGAATTGCAGCGCGTCATGGAAAGAATACAGAAAGTGAGTGCAGACCACGGTCTTAGCCTAAATATATCAAAAACAACGTGGATGGTGATGAGCAAAGATCAGACACACAATGAGCGTATTACACTAAACGACCAGACGATCGAACGTGTAGAGTCATACAAATACCTTGGTACGCTGATCAATGCAAGATGGGACCAGGCCACCGAAATCCGATTAAGGATTGAAAGAGCTCGAGCATCGTTCAACAACAAGAAGGGTGTATTCACAAGCAAGGATCTATCCCTGCCTCTAAAAATAAGGTTGGCAAAGTGCTGTGTTCCCAATTCTGCTCTACGGAGCAGAAGCATCGACAACGACGGAAGCCATAATGAAAAAATTAAACGCCTTTGAAATGTGGATATACCGACGTATCCTCAGAATCTCGTGGACTGGCCACATAACTAATAAAGAGGTGCTGCAGCGAATTGGGAAAGAGAGAGAAATTACACTCACAGTTAAAAAGAGGAAACTGGAATACATCAGACACATAATGAGACATCAAAAATATCGTCTACTCCAGTTAATAGCTCAAGGAAGGATCAACAATAAAAGAGGACCAGGAAGGAGAAGACACTCATGGCTGCAAAATCTACGCCAGTGGTTTGGATTTACATCTATACAGCTATTTAGAAATTCCGTCAATAAAATTAAAATTGCCATGTTGATAGCCAACGTCCGCGACGGATTAGGCACGCTAAGAAGAAGAAGTGGATGAGTGTAAAAGAACCTCGCTTACCACCACCGCCCTAATAAAAGCACTTAAATTTATAAAAGTACAATTAAATAAAAAAGGTGAAAGCTGACAGACAATATGTACAAAGCAAAGCTTGGAACAAAAGTGTTGACTATCGGACTTTTCTCTATACCTGCTTTCGCATGAGGTATTACCCGTTTCTGGAACTATTTGGAAATTCGATATGTTATGGAGTTGGCTTTCTTTCTCTAACAGTTGATCGCAAGGCGTCAGCTTTATATGAAAGAAAGGAGCCAAAATTCTTTCTTCGCTCCAGGTCCGACTAGCTCATGTTTATTCAGTACAATTCTCTTATCTATCTCTCTATATCTAGCCGACACCTTTATTAATTAAGACAGAGAATTAAAAAGCGGGTTCTGCGATGTTTGGCCGGTGTTAAGAAAACACACTCATGTAGAGCATTGTTTACAAGCTCCAAGTTTCTGACCCTCGTATCAATATTAATCTATGAACTGTGTATACCTATAAGTTTTTTACAAATACATCTTTGTTTATTCTAAAGGAAGATGTTCACACATTTAACACCAGATATAAAACTAATTTTAGATTACCTTTCAAATGATTAGTGTGGTAAGAAATTTAGGCTCAAAAATCTTCCACATTATTTAAGAGAGAGTAACAGATTCGGAAATATTAAAAAAATAACTCCATATTTTATTAGATGGCTGTAACAACATTCATATAATCCAGTATAAAAAAGATTTTTCCGTGGGTCCCGTACGGTAGCTAAAGTGTACTTTGAGTGTAGCAGTTTTGTTATATGTTCGTTTACTTTATATTGTTCTTTGTGCAGTTATTAGTTTTTAGATTTTTCCTGTGCCTGCGTTTGCTATAGACTTGATTATGTTGTATGAGTCACCGAATCCGTTTTGGAATCGCTGGATAGAGAAATGAAAATTCGATTCAGTCATAATAACAAAAATTGTGAGAAAATTCGAAAGTTTTGACCCAGAAAGCGAAATTTGAATATCAGACATTTCGGTGCAAGATTAGGCAAAAATTTCATCCATTCAAAAGTCATGACCCCCCTGGATCCGCCCTTTGTGTGGTCAGACTTAGATTTAATTCCCAATTAAAACCTTCATTTTCTATTACATAAATAAAAATCCATACGACATTTAAAAAAAAGAGCTTTATTATAAATATTTCACAACGTACGCGTATGTACCCTGAATAGAGATTTAATTCAATCACAACAAGATTCTGTATTAGCTTATGAGCAAATAGTAAATTAATTTAAACTTGTGGATACCAAACAAACGTAAAACCAAGCCGCTAAATTTTTGGTCGGTTGGAATTAATTACACAATGCAAAAGTAAAGTTGAGAGCACGTCAGTTTCCATAGTCCATAGTATGTCTATTTGATGCTCCAGTAAACCACAGCAACATCTCGTTGCCTTTCTAAATATAGCTAAGCTTGCTTTGTTGATTATGTATTCGAGGCTTATGTACATGTCTAATGTCAACTGGTGTATTATTTGCATTATATCACTTTGTAAAAGGACATATTCTAAGTTTCACAAAAGTTTTAAGACAAATTTCTAATTACTTGTGTCTTTAATATATTAATAATACAATAGTCGAAACATTTTTTTCTTAAGAAAGGGCAACTGAACACACTTTATAAAGTCCACTATAAACTGTTTTATTTTCCAAACCCCAACACTTAAATCAATCACCATTAATTAAAGGAAAGCTGCTATAATAAAAAAAATACATATGTAGTCTTATCATCAATTGTGTCAAAATGCGGCCAAACTGCCATACTGAAACACCTTTACACACACGCAAAGTTTCCAGAAACAAATCCGATTTTTTTATTATTTGATGTTCGATAAGAAACTGTAAAAAAAATCGAATCAACCTGTAGATTGTTTTATCACTAATGATGTCACGATAGATTAAAGCAGCCTTTATAAAACCGAAATTACAACTTTTGGTTAATTTTCTGTTATTATTTACTTTCATTTATTTACTTGATTGGACAATTTCAATGATAGGTGTTTATTAAATTATTATGCTCGATTATGACTATCTGAAAATTGATAAAATTCAATAGTCAGGTGTAATGTTTAGCTGGTTAAGTCAGGAATGTTAGAATAGGAAAATACGAAATATCTCGATTAAATTTCAAATGTAGGTACGGTTAAATAAACTGAAATATTCAAAACTTAGGATGAGTACACATTTTTTCAGTAGATAAATTGTTCTCTCGGGAATTCGCTTTTACGAGAACCAACTTGGCAATGAACTTGGAGCTTCCAGACAGCAAAAAAATCCGCAATCGAAATGTATACCCGCTACTAAATTCAGCTTTTCCGTCTGCTCTAGCGAATCATGACAAATGCTGTTCCGCATTTGCCAACATCGATTTTAATACCAACAAAGTATTTTAGTTGAGTGTTTGACGATTTATTTTGAAAAGATTAATACAAAGATAAGATGTTTGTATGACAAAATATCCAGATAATAAAATTCGATAAATTGCAACTCATACCAAAGCAACCCGGACCTACAATATGCAAAACAGTTTTGTGTTTTTTATAGAATCCTACAGCAATATCGTCAACTACTTCCGAAAAATGGGCAATTGTTCGAAGAAACGACAGGGGAAACCTTAAACCCTGTTACCTAAATGTCAAACTATTGTTGATTTCATTTTACATAGGCCTGATATATTATAATATAAAAACGAGATTTCGATATATGTATCACTATGCGCAAATGTTGCCAATGCAAGTAGTTCACAATTCGTTCAATAACTAGTCGTTCTTGGAATCTTTCGAAGGTTGGGGTTGAAAGATGCATAATCGACCCTGCACTTAATGGATAACAGGCCTAACAGAAAAATGCGTGCTTCTAAATGGAATCTTTCTTTCAGCTTAGACGAGCAAAAGGGGACATAATAAATCCCAAAGTACATTTGTGCATTATCACCCAGTTTGGCCCCCTTTTGGATATAATAATGGACTAATTGAGAATAAAGGTTATATATGTACTGATGAAAATGTCTTTTGACTAGTAGCTCAGTGTGATCGATGTAAAATTTGTATTTCTTAGAAAGTTCACGACTTATTATTATCTATTAATACTTACCACAACTAATCAGTTGATGAATTAGTGTTTAGACAATCAACAATGTTGGAAGTTCTTACTGAAACAGAAACAGAATATTATAATTATATTCATCGCTGAAACAACTTGTTATTTAGTTTTTATAAAATGATGCAAACTATTTTATTTCAATTCAATATTAAATACTTTTGGAGAAGCTACCGCTCTGATTATTAAAGCTTTTCCGAGAGGAATCTAAGACTGGCTAATGTGTGAGTTGGGCAAAAATCGAATTGTGAAAGAGCTCGCAAATGAAAGTGAAGTAGTGCACGAGGCAAATTCGTAATCACTGTTAAGAAAAGTCGAAAATTTCTCTGAAAATGTAAAACAACGCAGTTAAGTACGTAAGTAAATAAGAGTATCATAATTCATTTGGTTTTCAATAAAATGCGAGTTCAAGGAAATCTAACTTGAAGAAATTATTGAATTTAAAAAATAATACTTTTGGCGATGAAAGCAATACCAAGCAAAATATTAAAAATAGCACTTACTACTCGAGTTTTTGACGAAACGAAATATTTGAAAAGTAGGTTTCGTACAGTAGGAACTATTATAGTAACCGCTGGTAAAATGACACCAAAAAAATAATAAATTTATTGACATCGATAGAAACTATCATTAACACCAGGCATGGAAAACGCCGTTATAACAGTTTTACCCACTTTTATTTGATATCGAACGACATCTCGTTGCGAAGTGAGTTTATGAAAGGGATTTTAGCAGTTTTGCGGTAAAACTCCGAATACATGAGTAAGCATTGACTTTTTGGATACCCTCAGACCACATCTCCAGAAAAATGCCTCAATTTTAAATCACCTCGTGGTGTTTCGAATTAATTCAGTTTTAAATGAAAATTAGCTTTTTAAACAGTTTCGCATGCAAAGCGTATATTTTATTTAAATGATTCGATTTGATTATCAGTTTTTTTGCTAGTTAATAATGCAAGTTAAATAAGTAGTTAATTATGACCCATGTTTTGTTTTTGTTTTTAGAATATATTATTTTTATTTTTCCAATGCTAAGAATTATTTTTTTAATTTTTTTTTTAACTAAATCATTATTTACCATCACTATTTGTACCACCATCAACATTGCAAATTTTTTATGACAAAATTAAAAAGTAACTTTTAATTTAAGTTATTTTTGGAACCTAATACCAAAGTAAAACTGCAACGTTGTAACCTGTTCCAGAAAAATAACCTTTTAGCACACCTTTACTATATACATATAATAAAACTGAATGCATTTATCTTTCAAACAAGCTTCAGTTAGTGCCTAACTTTCAATTGCAAAAATGTTTTCGGGATTTGCYCAGGACCACTTGCAAGGTAGTTTTCGAGAAATGACCGGCGTCAAAAAATTCGTCGATGACCACTCTTAAGGAAACATAAAATTGAATGGAGGATAAAATGTAGGAAAAATTACCACCTATATTGATAAAATAYATATGAATATTGAAAATATCCATTCGAATGGCTCGAAGTAACTACAAGAAGAGTTGCCATTTCCATAAAATTGTACTAATGACTATTATTTTCCRAGTAATGGCACGATAATCTAATSTAGTTTTTAAAATCAAATTGAAAAACATTATTTGTGTTTTCAATACATACAATATGAGYTTWACACTGACCTGAAAATTTTTGGGTTTGGCCTCTGCTTAGTTATAAATAATATAATCTATTAATTATCGGTGTTCAAAAGATTTTTTACTTCTTCATACAAAGAAAGTTCTATTTATTGCTTTATATTGGGAGTTCCAAAACCCGATAATACATCTCTGGAAAATAATGAAAACAGTATTTCGAAATAAATTTGTTTCTGGTTTAATAAAATTATAGCAAATAGCAATATATTTAAATTAAAAGACAGCATCAATCTAATGACCTTTCTGTACAGAACCACATTTAAGTGTTACTTACCCCAAAAATCCAAGCTATCTTGAGATACTCAGAATTGTGAAAATATTAGTAATACTGTTTCAAGATAATTATCGGGTCAGTAAGACGATTTCATTTTCGTCGGATTTCATGTATGTCAACAACACCAAAATGTAATAATTCAAGCACTGCAACTAACCCGAGCTAACTTAAGCAATTACAGACAGAAAAAGGCAGTTTTTAGCTACATCACACTACTAATTAGGAGATTAATTTCAGAGTCCATTAGCAAAGTATATCTGAGTATTGCTCGAAGGTGTTACCGCCACCAAAAAGTTCAAACCGCCCGCTTCAGCATTATCACGTTGTTCTGGTTATCGACCGTCCAACCATGACGCAAGCGCCCTGATGAAACCCGGTTAGTGAACCGAAACATCGGCGTCACGGGCATAATGTAACATGTGATAACGGCACAACGTTGCCAAAAAACACCCCCGAACCAGGAAACTCATTTTATTCATGTTTTTCTTATTTGATGATATTTTCAAATTTCGTTTYTGCGTTTAGTGKTAGTGTCAGTTCTGTTTGYTTTATTTAATTTAATCATTAATATATGTTGGTATAGGKTATTGACAAAACTCATGTGATTTTCCTTGAACACTTATTGTGACATGAGAAATAAATAAATACATTATAAAACTTGAAGAAGGATTCTACACTAGAAGCATTTTTTAAGGGTTGTGCAAAAACTTGCTTTTGCAGAGATAGACAGATAATGTTAGAAATTGGGATGATAATTTGATGGCACACATTATCTGCACGAATACACCGCTATTTTTATTAGATGCACATGACAATCCATTAGTTGAAGTGGTAAATTCTCTCAAAGATTTCAATATCACCTGTATTCTTCTGATATTAGCAAATTAGCTATCACAAGCMTGCGACCCCGCAAATACCGATTGATCAAAATCTTAAAAATAAGAGTCAGTAGTCATTAAGTGACTTCATATTGGACTATTATGAAAAAATATTATCAAAAAACTTTTATGCCAATTGAAATTGGCGCAGTCGGTAGCATCCTATAGGAGTAACGTAATTTTCGAAAAATCTCCCATGTGGTAACGGTTAAGAAAAGATCGAGCATCACGACAACCTCCCTGAACCTCTTCGGGCTCCTGGATTAGGAATAGSAGTATCACATCTKAGCCTATCAGTCTCCACTGCAATGACCTGAACCTATTTTAACTCGACTGTTTACATTTGTTGAACTGTATGTTAGTTAATAATTTAATTTGATACTCTAAAACTGAAACTACTGAGACTTTGATGAACATTTATAAGAAGCAGATGTTCAAATCTGCAAAACAACCAAGTGAAATAACCGTGTCATATTAAGACGTAGATATTAATACATTATTTGAAATATGACCAACATTTAAGTACTTCTTAAACAAAATTGACACTTTTCATAAAGAAAACCATCACAAATGAAAATTTTTTGACCCTCCGAAGATGGTCGACTCACAAGACCAGAGTTAGAAAACAGACAAAAAATCAAATTAGCTTTCAAACATAAATGTAGAATTGTAAAATTGTAAAAATATTAATCTTACATAAAAAGATTGAACATACACGAGGTGACGACACTAACGTTGCTGCTCTAACTTTTTGAGTCAACATTTCCAATAATGATTGATGCCATCACTTTTTAATCAAAGTTATCTATATCTACAAACTATCTTCAGATATGAACAATTCAAAAGTCATAAGTCAATAGCCATTAAATTGTTTCATATTGTATTATTGTAAAACATGTTTTCAAAAACAAGTTTTGAAGTACCTATTCATAAACTTTTAGTGTAAATTGGATCGCAGAACAGAAAGCACTATTCACACAAAATACAAATGGGGGGTTCTTTTATTCTAACAAACGCGGTTTATAGATATAGCCCTTGTTTCACTCGCACATTTTTCGGCAACAAAAATTAATTATTCACATTTGTATACTTGAATGCCTCTGCTGTATGTCAAACAAAATGTTAACTTGTTTGAAGTGGCTTGTTGGGTTGTCGCAAATGAATGTCGTCTGAAACAGAACGCAGAATAGAGACAAATATGAGCAGCCAGCCATAATGGCAAATGGAAAGACGTGGGATGTTGACCCTTTCCGATTTTTTGCGAATTCAAGGCAAAATAGTATAATTTTATGTGATTCTATCGTACATTGTGTACAGAGTGTATTCTAGAATCTATTTAAAATTTGAATTAAACAAAATTTATTTTGGATCCTAATTAATTACAGTTTCAAATTTAATTTAATTTAATTTTCCATTGATATACCGATAGAGTTAGTGAATGGGAAATGAAAAAATTTGCTTTAATTGTTAAGTTGTTTATGCAAGCTTCTATTGGACATTTGCGCCAATTGCATAAGAGCGTGAAAAAATATTTTAAAACCCCCGAAGGAAAAGTTGAAGCAATGTGGATGGGGCTGGAAGTAGTCCTCTGAAACATTATATTCATAATATTCATCAAAAAATAGGCTTGTGCAAAAAATCCTGGTCGTTTTAAAGCTGGCATTCTTTCAATGAATTTCAAAGAATGTAAAAATTCGGTGTCTATTCCAGTTTCTTCAGCTAGTGACAAGAAATGAAGCTTTAGTTCACTTATGTTAATGTTGGATTATTAAATTATTGTTTACGTTTTCTGCAAAACGCTGATTATATATTATTCAGAGCTTTTGGACAGATTCCATGTTGACTTGAAACTAAAACGGTCGCATTTAGCGAAAAACAATGCACGGGTTTGATTTTCTTCAAATTTAGATTTTCTTTTTAGAAAATTTTAGAATTCTCCAGATTTAGCCCCTTGCGACTTTCCTGCTTCCAAACCTGAAGAAATGGCTGGGCGGTAAGAGGTTTGGGTCCAATTAAGAGGTCACATAACAAACGCATATTTTGAGGACCTCGACAAATTATATTAAGGAAGGAATAAAAAAAGGAGATTTTGTTCAGAAGCAAACCGCTTTTTGGCCGAAAATAATTAATTTCATTCAAAAAGTCACTGACTAGATAGTTTTCTTCCAATTAACTAGTGTCTACAAACTCGACAATTTTACCAGACACTTCGATGTTCTTTCGAACAGTGTTATTAATAT